TAATGTATTGTAAAGTTAGTCCTCATTGTAACACTCTTAAGATGTGGGAAATATGATTATGGTATTTGAAATGTTGGGCCTTTAAAGGGTGACTGGATTGTGAGGACTGTGTCCTCATGAATGGATTAATCCAGTTATGGAATAAAGGGTTAATGGCTTCATGGGTTATCATAGGTGTGGACTGCTGACTTTGTAGGGACAGCACAAAGCAGACCACATCACATGGTGACTCAAAATCTGTCAATGGGCCTAAACTCCCTAGTAGGATCCACAAGACTCATTGTAGACCCAGAGTTGAATCAGGTACATTCCTGAATGGAGGAGGCCCTTTTAATCCACCACTCTGGACCTTCAGCAGGAAATGTTCTCCCTTTACTACTTGAAATCCTGTTATTCATTCTTTAAGGTCCAGCTCAAACATGTCCTGGTCTGTTGCACCTTGCCAACTCCCTGTGCGGAGTGTCCTCTTCTCTTCTGCAGGCTGTCTCACGCTGCAAAGCCAGCTTGGCCTGGTTCCACTTCTAGCTCATGTCTGCCTCTAAGGAAACATCCATTTCACAGCCAGCCCCAGTGTATTCTCTGTGCATCCGCAAGTGTTTGCTCAACAAGTGTTTGCTGAGTTTACAAATCAAGGGATGGTGAAAGCAGCAGCAGTCATCCCTGGAAATGCACCCGAGGGAACCTGGCCTCCTCCACAAGGGGCAGATTATTACTCTACGCCTTCCAACTGAGCACTAAATAATTTCCCTACAAAGTGGAATGCATTATATATTTAATTTTAATTTTAATTTTATTCTATTGCAAGGACATAGTCATGGAATAGTGTATTATGAAGACCAAGTTGGCCTGGAATCGAAGTTTCTAAGTCCATATCAGCTACGTTTCCCACCTCACAACCCCCACTCCACCTCTTGGCAAGGGGTCAATTTGTTCTATACCTTGTCCACAAACGGTGCAGGATATGCACGAAGGAAGGATATTGGAATAATTGGTGTAACCCACACCAGATGTGCACGGCTTACATCCTCTGCTGTCTTCTGATGCATGTGATCCTGAGAACGGAGAGAAAAGCTGGTGAATCAATCTTCACAGGATTCCCAGAGGCTGGACATGGAGGCTGAAGGACTCCTCTTTCAGCCTTCAGTGGAATCCAAACAGGAAGATCCTCTCTACCTGGCTTGATCAGTTCATCAATTCTGCATCTACTACACACCTTACACCAGCACTGTTGACAGAAATATAATACTAGCTACACATGAAATTCAAACTCATGGTATTCACATTAACACAGTAAAAAGAATGAGGTTATATTAATTTTAACAATATATTTTTGTTCTAAAATATCCAAAATACTATCATTTGAACATGTAATCAATATAAAAAATTGAGATATTTTACATTTTTAGTACTAAGTATTCAAAATCCAGAGTGTGTTTTTCACAAACAACCCATCTCAATTCAGAGTAGCTCTGTTTGAAGTGATCAAGAGCCATATGAGCCTAGACGCTAGGCCAGCATCACCTGGTCCCTGGAAACTCATAGAAGAAAGTCCTAATCCCTGTCCTCAATGAGCTCATGGTCAGTGGAAGACACAACAGAAGCAGAAGTAATGGGACAGTGAGTGACAAGACTTTGGGTAAAGCTCTTGCCATCTGCGATGGGAGGAAAAAGGGACAAAAACTGAGTCCTACCTGTAGAGAGCTAAAGAATAACATAAAAAGTGGGCAGAGGCATTCTGCTGGCACTCAGGTGACAATGTACAGGAGCTGTCACTAGCAGGAGCCCATGTCCTGAGGACTGACCTTCATCTCTAGGGCTTTGCTCCTTTGGGCCACCTCATTTTCCCCTGCAGGATCTATCTCTCCTTCTCCTCTGATCCATGTTTATCAGTACTGAAAGATACTCTAGAAAACACAGCTTTTATAAAAGCTTCCTTTATAATGTATTATGATGATGACACTTGCTATCAATGATAAAAATGTGATTATTCAGTAAGGTGCTGGGGCAACTAAGATGACCTCTGGAAAATCATAAGCCTGTTTCTTATGTATTCCTTATAAGAAAATAAAGACAACTAGGTGGATCAATGTGTTAGCTGTAAAACATGAGATCACACAAGTACCTCTAAAAACACATGAGAAATTTTTCTTACAAGTTTGAAGAGAAGGATTTTCTGAGTGTGATAAGAAGCTATAAAACTTACATAAAGTCAACTATATAAAAATTTTATATATCCTGCATGGAAGAAATAATAACAAAGATAAAAAGAAGCTACAAGAAAATACTTGCCACACAAATCACAATTAAGAGAATAATTTCCTTACTCTATAGGGATTCATAGATTCATATAGGGATTCAAGAAAGACTAGAAAGAAGTTCAACAGGAAAATAGTAGATTTGATATCTCAACACAATAAAATCCACGTAAAACAAACCCACCATCAATAGTGTCCTGAATGGGGAAAAGCTTTCAGCTTTTCCTTTAAGAACAGGAACAAGACAAGGATGCCCACTCTCACCACTCCTGTTTAACACAGTATTGGGAGTACAAGCCACAGCAATCAGGCAAGAGAAAGAAATAAAGGGCATCCATATTGGAAAAGACAAAGTCCACCTGTCCCTCTTTGTAGATGACATTATCTTAGATATATGTATAGAAAAGCCTAAAGACTCTACAAAAAAACTCTTGGAGTTGGTAAACAGTTTCAGTAAAATTGCAGGATACAAAATCAACATGAAAAAATCAGTAGTGTTTTTATACTCCAATAACAAACTAGCAGAAAAAGAAATCAAGAGTTAACCCATTTACAATAGTCACAAAAAAATATATATATAAAATACCTAGGAATCAATTTAGCCAAGGAAGTGAAAGATCTCTACAATGAGAACTATAAATCACTATTGAAAGAAATTAAATTAAATAGGACACAAAAAGATGGGAAGACAGTCCATGCTCTTGGATTGGAAGAATTTACATGGTGAGAGGGAGTGGATCTGCAAGCTCATGGAACAACTAATGACAGCCTGCGCTGAGAATCCACAGCCATCTGACTCATGCCCATAGTCTCAACCTCAGCTAACATCTGTGAAGTGCTTCCTATGTGCCAGCCTTCACCCAAATTGTCTGCAGTATTCCTCAGAGGGAGGTAGGGACCATGGCCCAGTGCACGCAGAGCAGGGAGACATCCAGTGGGGGAGGCAGAAGCTCCACAGAGACCACACACCATGTGGGGGGGCCACTGCCACGCAATCCAGCAGCAGATAGGCTTCACCGCCACCACCCAGCTCCATCCCAAGCCCAGCCCAATGCGCACGGAGCAGGGAGACATCCAGCAGGGGAAGGGAAGCTCCGCAGAGACAACACGCTCTGCGGTGCCTCTGTACATCCCAGCAGCCCAGCCCAGTGCACACAGAACAAGGAGATGTCCAGCATGGGAGGTGGAAGCTCAGCAGAGACCACACACCCTGCGGTACCGCCCCGAGACCCAGCAGCCCGGCTGAGTCCAAGCTGACCAGAGAGGTGGCTCCCCAGAGAGCCCCAAGACTCAAGGCAACCACACATGCAAGGCACTAGTAGCCAACTGAGCAGTCACCAAGGTAGCCATACCAAATTGGCAACCCCAGCAACATCTTAGTCAGACAATAGTGTCAAACCTGTGGACTGTGATCCCCCCTGCCACAATGAATAAACATCAAAGAAAAGATACCAGAAATATGAAAAATCAAGAAAGTACACCAGCAAAGGGTAATAACTCTCAAGCTCTAGATCGTATATAACAAGAAGCCCTTTAAATGACTGACAAGGAATTTCGAGTGATAATTCTAAGGAAACTGAATGAGATACAAAAACACTCAGCTAGACATCATGATGAAATGAGGAAAAGTATACAGGACCTGAAAGAAGAAATGTACAAGGAAATCAATGCCCTGAAAAAAAAATGTAGCAGAACTTGCCGAACTGAAGAATTTATTCAGTGAAATAAAAAACACAACAGAGAGTTTAACCAGCAGACTTGCAGAAGTTGAAGAAAGAACCTCTTAACTTGAAGATGGGCTGTTTGAAATAACACAAGCAGACAAAAAAAGAAAAAAGAATCAAAGGCATTGAAGAAAATCTGAGAGAGATATCAGACAATCTTAAGCACTCAAATATCTGAGTCATGGGTATTCCAGAAGGGGAGGAAAAAGGAGATTGCATTGAAAACATATTCAACAAAATAGTGGCAGAAAACTTCCCAGGTATAGGAAAAATCACAGATCTTCAGATCCAGGAAGCTCAAAGATCTCCAAAGTGGGAGAAAATATTTCCAAAATATACATCCGACAAAGGATTAATATCCAGAATATACAAGGAACTCAAACAACTTTACAAGAAAAAAACAAGCAACCCAATTAAAAAATGGGCAAAAGAGCTATAAGGAAGATATACAAATGGCCAACAGACACATGAAAAAATGCTCAACATCACTCAGCATTCGGGAAATGCAAATCAAAACCACACTGAGATACCATCTCACCCCAGTGAGGATGGCTAAAATCCAAAAGACTCTGAACTATAAATGCTGGTGAGGTTGCGGAGAAAAAGGAACTCTCATACATTGTTGGTGGGACTGCAAAATGGTGCAGCCTCCATGGAAAGTGGGATGGAGTTTCCTCAAACAATTGCAGATAGATCTACCATGGTTCTACCATTTTCAGCTATCCCACTGCTGGGAATACACCCAGAGGAATGGAAATCATGGAGGCCAAGGTATACCTGTTCCCCAATGTTCATTGCAGCACTCTTTACAATAGCCAAGAGTTGGAACCAGCCCAAATGTCCATCATCGGATGAGTGGATACAGAAAATGTGGTACATCTACACGATGGAATACTACTCAGCTATAAAACCAAATGAAATACTGCCATTTGGAACAATATGGATGGACCTTGAGAGAATTATATTAAGTGAAATGAGTCAGGCACAGAGAGAGAAATACCACATGTTCTCACTTATTGGTGGGAGCTTAAAATAAATAAACAAATTCACACACACACACACACACAAATGGGGGCGAGGAGAAGACACAACAATTACAATTCCTTGAAGTTGACATGACAAGCATACAGAAAGGACATTGTTGGGTGGGAGTGGGGAGAGGGAGGTGGGAGGGAGGTTTTGGTAATGGGCCACGATAATCAACCACATTGTATATCGACAAAATAAAATTAAAAATAAAAAGAATTTTTAAAAAAAACAAAAAAAAAGAGGAAGAATTCACATGGTGAAAATGTCCATACTATCCAAAGTGATCTACAGATTTAATGCAATCCCCATCAACATACCAGTGACATTCTTCACAGAAATAGAAAAAAAACAATCCTAACATTCAAATGTACCCCTGAGCAGCCCATGAGTCAGGCAAGATCCTGCAACACCACCAACAGGGGAGGCCACAGCCAGGCAAGCAGAAGACACAGAAAGCCCACTGCCCAGCCCCCAAGCAACCCATAGGCCAGGCAAGACCCTGTGCTGCACTGCTGTTGCCAATGGGGAAAGTAACACCCAGGTAGGCAGGAGACCCAGCCAGGCCACTGTCCAGCCTCGCCAGCAGCCTATGCACAAGGCAAGACCCTGCACCATTCCACAGTGAATGAGGGAGGCCCCAACCAGGCAGACAGGAGACCCAGCCAGCTCACCATCCAGCCCCCCAAGCAGCCCATGGTCTAGGCAAGACACTGTGTCATGCTGCTACAGACAGGAGACCCCAGCCAGGCAAGTAGGAAACCAGGCCAGCACACCAATCAGCCCACCACCTAGCCCCCTGGAGAAGCCCACATGCCAGGCAAGACCCCATACCACCACCATAGGCCTTGCACAGCTTCTGCAGAAGTGGTCCACAATATACACCACCACAGCTACTTCTGTTGCAAGGACACTGCACTTAAAAACACTGCCTTAAAAACATCCATGACCACCATGCAGTTGGTCCACCATGTATTTGACTTCATCAACACAAGAAGAGTCACTGGAGGAACCTGGAAAAACAGGAAGAAATCTTTCTCCTCAAAG